TTTTTTTTTTTTTTGTAGATACAAGGAACAATAATAGCATTTTCTGAAATGTATGATTTCCCAAAAAGACTTTGGATAAAGTTTGAGAATGTAGCAAACCTGGTTGTCGCTGGTGGTGGAACTTTTTTTGGTCACGGGGAGGTGTGGTGGAAGAATACATGTAAAATCAAGAAAACTAAGGTATACATAAAGATTAAAAAAAAAAAAGAATTTAGTTTACGTAAAACATTTCTATAGCATAAAATTATCGGTCTGTTACTGACATGTTCATATTTTCTTTTCACCCGGAAGCCTTGCATATCCGAAAATGCACCATCTGTACGTTTCTTTTCCTTTTCTTTTTTTTATTATATTTTTATTTTATGCATGTCTAAATCAACAATGAATTTTCTGCACTAGATCCTAAAGAATTATAGTTTTTTTTTTTTTTTTGTGGTCACGACAGGCTCTAACATTTTCGAAATGCACAAATCTAAGAGTAAGCAATTTAAAGACGTTGGATCCGCAGCAAATTCATATTGTTATTCAGGATTGCGATGGCGTAGAGGCTTCAAATCTATTAGTAGTAGCACCAGAAAAAAGCCCCAACACAGATGGAATTCACATCACAAGATCATCAAATGTGAAAGTTCATGATTCTACAATAGGAACAGGTAAAAACATATATGAAGTGAATTTTAAAATGTCAATTGATCAATTGTAAGGTCATTCTTCAACTATAACATGAATTCAACCAATAATATGATTTAGTGATGAATAGTAGTTTTTTTTTTTTTTTAATTTTTGGTCAGGTGATGATTGTATCTCTATAGTAAGTGGAACTAAAAATGTTGAAGTGAGCAACATAGTATGTGGACCAGGTCATGGAATCAGGTAAAATTTATATAGATACTTGATATTTGTAATTTTCTCAAATATAATTTCGATTTTCATATCCATAATGCATATATAAAATAAATAGATAATTTTAGCTTCAATTTGATATCCATATTGCATATATAAAATAAATAAATAATTTTATTTTATTTTTTAATATAAAGCTAAATCATCCACTTATACTAATTAAAAAATAATAAAACTATATATCAATTCAAACCATCTATATATTCATTACATATGAACTGGAAAAGTTATTATAATACTAGGAATCTCTTGGTTGTGCGATGCACAATCGGCCCATAATACCAAAGTATTTATGTTTGAAATGTGTATTGCTTATTAGGACATTAATGTCCTTGCAATTGTAGAGGAATTTACCACTATTACTGACATCATACCAATGCAATATGTTGTGAGGATTTAATTTAAATATATACATTTTAGTGTGGATCATGGTCTAGGGAAAACAGAAGGTGGCCACGTGTAAGAAATGTACCCTCTAAAACTTCCCTTTATCCGTAGAGGGATAAGATGGGTAAATCGTACAAGCGAAAAATCTCATTTTACATATAAATAATAATCAAATACGTGAAAAAGTATTTGATTTTTTTTTTTTTTTCTTTTAAACATCCCTTTTATACTTTTAAGAATTTCAGTGTAAATTTGTTAATTAGTAGCCGTTAGATTTAATGTTTTTAAAATTCTTGATTGTTTAACAGTATCGGAAGCTTGGGTGTCGATAACTCGGCAAGTTCTGTTTCAAATGTACATGTGACGGGGGCAGTGTTAACAGGAACCACAAATGGAGCACGGATAAAGACTTGGCAGGTACCAATTTGCAATATCTAATAATATGTGCACACACAAAAATGACTGCTGACATATAAGCAAGTAGATGAATAACTTGTGTATGATAGGTGTATTAATAATGAATAACATAATGTGTGTCTATGTGCTACTGTATTATAACTAAATGCCATGAATAATATAATGTGTGTCTATGTGCTACTGTATTATAAGTAAATGCCTTCAATTGTTAAATGAATGTTAATTAGATTATGTGTAAATTGTATATATATTTTGTGCAGGGAGGGAGCGGATATGCGATGAACATAGTGTACGACAATATTGTGATGAAGAATGTGTCCAATCCAATAATCATAGATCAAAACTACTGCGATAAAGGCAAAGACTGTCAAAAGGCCGTACGTATTGTTATTCAAGCAAAGTATTGGTTGTATTTTTGTTATCCGTCCTTTTTTTTGTTATTCCAAGATCATTTATCTTTCAAAGATGACTCTCAAAATTGCAGGATTAATTCAAACCAATTACCAAAATACTTGAAAATGTTATATCGCATTAGCATAACATTCTCTAAGTTAATGAAAATATAATTTGCAGGCATCAGGGGTACAGATACAGAACGTAGTATTCAGTGACATAAGTGGCACGAGTGCTACAAAAGATGCAATCACTCTGGACTGCAGTGAATCGGTTCCATGCAGAAATATCATACTAGAAAATGTGAAGCTAAGTGCCGTAAAAGCTGGACCAAAAGTCGATGCTGTTTGCACCAATATCAATCAGACATTACTAATAAATACTAGTCCAACTTGCTTTTAGAACCAACCAAACAACTAGTGATTCCTTCAACTTGGTAATTTCTTACAGGGTCTTTATTTATTTATTTATTTATTTGTATTTTATTTTATTTTGGTTAAAAGGGAAAAAAAATTGTAATGCAATTTTGCACTGCTTTCTGCAGGTGGCAGTTTGTAGTGCCCGGTGAAAGCGATTCAGAAAGGAGATGGTTCTTTATTTCAGAAAAGTGGTGTTTTGCGAAAGTTGTTGATGGAAAAAGTGTTCTCAGTTCTTGCTCCAGCAGAGAGAATATGCGTGCGTATTTTTAACTACACATAAATAGTACAGACCTCAAATACTAGAACAGAAATGTCAAAAATTTATGATACAGGCATGTAATAAATTTGTTTACAGTATTATAAAACCATACCTGGGAAGTTGTGTTTGTAAAGCAAGTAGAGACCGTATGGAGATCATCTCAGCAACTGGCTAAACTCTAGAAGTCAGCATTTACAATACCGGCATATGGCACTACACAAATGCAATTGTTCCACAATATCAGAAATTAACTCGGTTCACATCCTCTACAGAAAAAACAAGGTTCAGTTTGTAATTTCAGAGGCCCTCTTTCAGTCTCTCACACCAACTAATACGAGAAACGTCAAATAATATTAAAATTCAAAACTGTTGCTTCGTGAAACTATATAGAGATTTACTATTTTCCTTAAATATCAAATAAGACTTACATTCATCGGCGAGCCGTTTGGATCACAGAAGCTATCAGATCCATCCTCCGAGCCACCAACAATAGAAGAAACTCCAGTATCTATCAAAAGATCCTTAATTGGCAAACCATCGGTTTGTTTCGTTTCCATCAAAACAACATCATTAACAACATCCAATTGGCCGAGATGCCATGAAATTGACAATCTTTTCATGTACCTGCATAAAAAATCATGTAAGGGACAAAGAAAATCCAAATTGGATGCCCTGTATGCAGCCAAAGGGCCTAAGACATATTATATTGCCTCATAAAAGTAAAAGTGCAACTTACCTGATCTTCCGACTCTTTGAAGCACGACGGTCAACAATTTTTTCTCTTCTTAGTTTGCAATCTTTTCAGAGCATACAATGTCGTTTCTGTCAACAGCAAGAACATATTTGGGCAATGTCAATTATTATTCATGCTATTTTTAGTATTGTCGTACTTTTCTGGCTTAAAATGAGATGTAGGAAGGTGAAGGAAGAATTTAAACTCGTGAGGTACAAGGGGTAATGACTACTACTTATGCAATTCAATTAAAATGAAACAGAGCGAGTCGTCTCAATAAAACACCAATTTGGTTCACAATCTTCATTGAACGTAGTAGACCAGGCATAATGTCATAAAATCCCATTATACAAATTAGCATTTTTCCTCCTTTTTATAGTGAAATATGACCCAAGAAAAAAGGTTGCAATTACTAGTTCCAAAGCAAGCCAAACCATTTAAAGCAACCAACACAAAGCACAAGAAAATTTTACAAATACCCAATATCTTACAAACTATGCGCAAAATCCGATATATTGACATATAACAGTTGCAAGGCATGTGATGCAAAAATATATATTCATGCTTATCTTTATAGAAGAGAAAGTAATGGACCAAGCTTTAACAAATAAATACCAGATGATAAAGGGTCACAAAGAACTCTTTCAGTAGGTGCTGGTAAAATTCCGAGTCATCCAAATTTTCAGGGTCGCTGTTCGCATAAGATGCCTGGTTATAGTATTTAGGAAAGTTCAGGTCCCAGGCATGATAAGAAAACCAGTTTGAAGGCAGTTGTGATGGCTACTCTAAGTGGATTAAATTCTGACACACATTAGTACAAGTTATAAATAATATTTTGAAAGCTTATAAAGATGAGGAACCATTCCCCCGCATGATGATTTTCCAAGTCCAACAAGTTAAAATTGACACACTCAGGATAAAGATACACATTTTCAACATATCATCTTCTCATAGCAAAATCATTTAATCCCAAACAAAGCAGAAGTATGACAATAACTGAATAAAAACATTAAATTAGTAGCCTAAACATCCATGAGAAGGAGAATAAAACTTTTCAGCACAAAACGCTGATCTTTAGAGAGAATGATATCCGAAAGTAACTTTTAGAAACCTACACCTGAGAATCATTTAAACATAAATGAAGTAATAACTCTTGTTTCATATTCTCTGTAGATTCTGCTGAAAGTGCATAAAACACATCATAAACTCATACAAATATAGAAAACATGTTAGAACACATTTAAATTTATCAACGCTGAGCTGGGTATTAATCATTCCCAAAACAAGCTAAGAATTAATTTCACTCACATTTCCAACTACAGCAACAGCTGCTCTATTCTGCTGCATCCCTTTAATCGTTTTACTCGGATCTCTCATACATGCAGCAACTTGTTCACTTATACTCTGAAGGAGGGTTAAATCATCAGATGAAGGTATTGATACATTTGCCATAAAATTGTCTTACAAGTGTCAAAGGAAACCTGATTAATTGTCACCTGGGTCTTCCTCTGCCATTTATCGATCGATTTGTTGCTAAAAGTGGTCATTCTTTCTGGTCACAATCATGACACCATCATAGCCAAGATAGTGATAATTAGAAATATTGTCTGGTTTTTTAACTCATTGAAGGAATACTTAAACTGAGCTTTGCTTCAAAAAACGTGATCCAAATGAACAAGTCTTTCGCACCGCCAGTCATCAATCGATTAAGGAATGCTTGTTAAAGTATGGGAAATTTTTAATTACCAACCTCAAGAAAATTAGCGAACCCAGTCTACATCTAATTTCCAGAGAGTATAGCAGGCAGATCAAAGTGATGAGGAGAGAAAAACATAGTTCGAGGTGGTAATTGAAGTACCTTGATTGCTTTTGAGAAAGCTTCAGCCATTCGTCATCAATATCCCTATCTGATTCACAGGAAGCTCCTGGTTGTTTGGAATTTTTCAGTCTTGTTAAAAAACCAATCACCATCTTTGTGTTAGGATACAGTAATCTATAGATTTTTTTCATACTTTCGGGGTGCAGAAATAATGCTCCCTACCGCACGGGCACATGTTAATATGTCCACTGCTTATGTGGCATGCACATATTGGTGAGATTAATGTGTTCAAAAAATACATAACCAATGTATGCAAGCGACATTAGCGGTGAGGATATTAACATGTGTCCACCGTGGGTAGGTGAAGATTACTGGTGCAAAAAATACACCATACTTTTTTTATATATAAACATCCCAGTGTGGGATGAGGGGTTGAGGCTACACCCCCTACCTGTGAATATAATGGCCCATAGAGGGCTAAAAAGTCAACGGTCTACATCAATGTCAAAGATACATAGAGCAACATCAAAAATAGAAAAACAAAAAGTACAATGATCACATAGTATCAAGTCCTCATAAAAGGTCGTCCCGGTCAGAGTGGTCTGGCATGGGGTCCAAAACGACAAGTCTAGTCAGGGTCAGGTGGTGGTCGTCGTCCGAATCTGAAGGATGGATACTATAGCTGGTCCATCCGAATGAGCGTCCGAAGCCGGAGGGGAGTGTCCTCAAGATGAAGGATGCGTCTCTGGGGTATAGATGCCCCCGTGCTAGCAAGGAAATCAGCGGGCCGATTCCCCTCTCGAAAAATGTGTGAGGCTTGGTAATGGATCGAACGGAGGGTGTCTCTGATGCACATAAGGGGATGCTAGATCTGCCATGAGCCCTGGTGGCCAGATGTCAAAAGTGTGATGACAGCTGCAGCATCCATCTCTATCCAGATATGGGAGGAGATCGAGGCGCCAATCTCAAGACCAATCTGGAGCGCCTGAATCTCTGCATCATAACTCGAGGAGGCCCGGAGTGGCCCATGGAAGGCAGAGATGAGTGCCCCATCATGATCCTTAATCAGGCCCCCTCCTCCAGCAGCTCCGGTATGTCTGTCGAATGCGCCATCTGTGTTTAACTTAACCCAAGGGGCCTTGGGTTTCAGCCAAATAACGGTCCTGGGTCGTGGGTACTGGACAGATAAAGGAGGCGGTGGCCTCAAACGGTGGGTCGGTCTACAACCTGTCCAGTCTCTCGTTGTGAGTCTACCCAGGGCGGTGAGGAAAGAGAGGTGATTGTTAACCTGCAAAATAATATGAGCACAAGAAAATATAATATCCCTATGTTTCTCGTTATTCCTTTCTTTCCAGGTGGCCCATAGGATCAGACAAGGAATAAGAAAGCCCACGTGTCTACTGTGTGTGCGGTGTGAAAAAAAACTCAGGAGCTCAAAAAAACTGTCTGTAGTGGGTAGGGGTATATGAGTATATTTGGCATAGTGCTCCCACACTCTCCTCACAATCACACTCTCAAGGAAAAGATGGGTGAAGTTCTCGATCTCAAAGGTACCGGTCTCAGCACAACAATGACAATAGGAGGGGAAGGAGAACCCTCTCGTCTGCATCACAGTGTCAATGGGAATGCGTCATAGTAGGAGACGCCACAAAAAGACGGAAATGGTCGGGGTGAGAAGGTCGGTCCAGATGGCCCTAAAGAGGGAGTTAAGCCGGTTACCCAACCTCACATCTCCCCGGGCCGATGACGTAGAGAATGCACCCGTAGATGTAAGTCTCCACCTCATGCCGTCCAAACCTCCCTCTAGAATGGGAATCTGTCGGATCGGGTAAATCTCTAGTCTACTGAAAGCCCCACCCTCACAGAGAATATCCCAAAGGTCCTTTACCTGCATGAAAGGCAGGTGAGTGACCGGTCTAGTACTCGAAAGAGGGGCCTCGCCGAACCACCACTCATCCCAGAAGCTAACCTCCCCAGAACTCAAGGTCCAAAATATGTGCTTCTGAGCACACCTGCCACAGTGGTGAGCCGTCTCCACTGCCGACTATCCCGAGCAGTGGTTGTCACCCTGCAAGGATGGCAGCCCCACCAGGGCAATATTTCCTCAGGAGATATTGGGCCCAAAGGGACTTGCCCTCCCTAAGGCACCACCACATCCTGTAGGAAAACACA